GGCTGATTTACTGGAAAACCTACAAACACAATTCATTATCATATATCAAAAGAAGAAAAAAAACCCCTCACATTTAATTGTCTTAAAAGATTTAATAAAGTGCAACATCAGATCAAGTTATTTTAAGCCCACAGAGCTATACTTTGCATTGTTATTGTTGTTGTGTAGCTAAAACTAGAGGCAAATCCATTGGACTGGCCTTGTAGGATAGATTATAACTGCCCTCAGGTTTAAACAGTCTGAAAATCTTTATGGAAGAAGATTATCTCACATCTTCTGATTAGCTTTGACCACTGCACCACCAAGTTTCCTTAAGTGAAAGTCAGCCATGCCTTAGTGGTGTAATGAAAGGATAGTCTTTTAAGTCAGAGGGGAAAAAATAACTTATTAAAAAATTAATTGCCAACAAGTCAGAATCGATGTATAGCTGATCCTCCATGAGTTTCTGGATGCTGTAAATTGCATGGGACCTTACTCCTGTTGGGCAAATGGTGAATTTCAACTGCCTGCTTCTGTTGGCACTGCAGCTCCCTATCTGGTAGGCCACCAGAGCACCCCACGAACAGGCCTATTCATTATGATACTACTTGACTCTCTTCTGGAAGTACTGACCTGTTTGATTAGGCAAAAGAGTAAAATGAAAATAATAAATACTAAAGAAGGGTCAAAGGTATCATCCAGGAAGAGTGCAAACGGTCATTACAAAGACAGAAGAGGAAGAAAAGACCAAAATGGATGTCAGAAGAAACTCTGAAGATTGCACTGGAGCGTAGAGAAGCCAAAGCACAAGGAAGAATTCAAGATACTAAAGAGCTGAACAGAAGATTCCAAAAGGCTGCTCAGAATGACAAAGCAAAATACTACAATGAAATGTGCGAGGAGCTAGAGTCAGAAAATCAAAAGGGCCGAACTCGCTCAGCATTTCTTAAGCTCAAGGAACTGAAGAACAAATTCAAACCTAGAGTTGCTGTAATCAAGGATGCTTCGGGCAGAATATTAAATGATCCAGGAAGTATTAAAAGAAGATGGAAGGAATATACTGAGTAATTATATAGAAAGGAATTGGCAGATACAGAGGAATTTAAAGAAATAACATATGAGCAAGAGCCTATGGTGATGAAGGAAGAAGTTCAAGCTGCTTTGAAGGAAATAGCAAAAAATAAGGCCCCAGGAATAGATGGTATACCAATTGAAGTATTTCAGATAACAGATGTTGCCCTGGATGTGCTCACCAAGTTGTGCCAAAAAATCTGGAGAACAACCACTTGGCCAACTGACTGGAAGAGATCTATATTTGTTTCCATTCCAAAGAAAGGTGACCCAACTGAGTGTGGAAACTACAGAACAGTGTCATTGATTTCACATGCAAGCAAGAGTCTACTGAAGATTATCCAAAAACGATTAGAACAGCACATCAGCAGAGAACTGGCAGGAAGTCCAGGCTGGGTTTAGAAGGGGTCGTGGTACTAGGGATATTGTTGCTGCTGTTAGATGGATCTTGGCTGAAAGCAGAGAATACCAGAAGAATGTCTATCTGTGTTTCATTGATTATGCAAAGGCATTTGACTGTGTGGATCATAACAAACTGTGGCTGACTCTGAGAAGAATGGGAATCCCAGAACATTTAATTGTGTTAATGCAAAACCTATACTTGGACCAAGAGGCAGTCGTCAGAACAGAGCAGGTTAACACTGCATGGTTCAAAATTGGGAAGGGTATACGCCAGGGACGCATCCTGTCTCCATACCTTTTCAACATGTATGCAGAGCAGATTATCCGAGAGGCTGGGCTCTATGAGGAGAATTGTGGCATCAGGATTGGTGGAAGATCTATTAACAATCTGCATTATGCAGATGACACAACCCTGCTTGCTGAAACTGAGGAGAACCTCATGCACTTGCTGCGAAGAGTCAAGGACTGCAGCCTTCAGTATGGACTGAGGCTCAATGTCAAGAAGACAAAGATTCTCACCACTGGACCAATTGGCAGCGTCAGGATGGATGGCGAAGAGACTGAGATTGTTCACAGCTTCAGTTTGCTCGGCTCCACAGTCAACACTCTTGGCACCAGCAGTCAGGAAATCAAAAAGCGTATCACAATGGGAAAGTCTGCTGTTAGGGACCTCTCTAAAGTACTCAAAAGCAACAGTGTCTCTGGAGACTAAGGTGCGCCTGATACAGGCCATGGTATTTACAATCGCTTGTTATGCATCAGAGAGTTGGACAATGACTAGGGAGGACAGAAGGAGAGTGGATGCTTTTGAGCTGTGGTGCTGGAGAAGGGTACTGAATGTACCATGGACTGCCAGGAAAACAAACAGATTCATCTTGGAGAGGATTAAACCAAGCTACTCCTTGGAGGCAAGGATTCTGGGGCTTCGTCTGACATACTTTGGACATGTTGCCAGGAGGGACGGGTCCTTGGAGAGGGACATCATGCTTGGGAGGGTGGAGGGACAGCGCAGGAGGGGAAGACCCTCTGTGAGATGGAGTGATTCGGTGACTGGGGTAATCGGGATGGGTGTGTCGGAGGCGGTGCGGTTGGCGCAGGATAGAGCAGGGTTTAGGGCTGTTGTGCATAGGGTGGCTATGAGTCGCAAACGACTCGACGGCACATAACAACAACAACAAAGAAGGGGCAAAAAAGATCAATATTTGTAGATGACAGGATCATTCACTTGAAACACTCAAGAGAATCATGTGAAAAACATTAAGAAATCATAAAAGCCATCTAGAACATTACCATACAAAACAAAGAAGTAAAATCAACACCTATTCCTGAAAAAGCCAATTAAAGAGTAAATCAGATATGATCTTTATCTTATTACATTATTGATAAGAACATATAAAATAATACCTATGCACTCACTTAAAATGAACTGTCTGAGCCCTGATGGAAAGTGTTGATAGTTTCACTAAGTTTTTTTTGTGAAAAAAAATCTCTCAATAAGGTAGATTAACACAATAGCCAAAGCAATGAAATTATATATACCAACAATAATTAAGATGGGACAGGACTGAGCAACATTTCACTGAAACATAAAAGGTCACCAAGAGGTGGAGCCAACTTGATGGTCTCTGCCATCAGCCTCACTAAGGACACAGCCAGCATACAATCATGCCAAACTGTAAGTTTGAAACGCTAAGGCGATTCCAGGGAAAATTCCAATGGCTTTTTCTCTTTTGTACACTCATTATAACACTCACTTGGACATTAAATAGAGAAAAATATAAGAGAAATGAGAAGGCTGTATACTACATTGCCTCTTTTCTGGTTTTTCATTGACTATTGGATATATGTAGTTGTTATGTGCCATTGAGTCCAAACCAACTCATAGATGACTTTCAGTTTTCAGAGACTGTAAATCAAATGGGAGGAAACTGCCCATCTTTCTCTTGCACTGAATATATAATTAAACTAAAATAGTTAAACAATATTATACTACTCCAGAAATAAACATGGGGAACACATTGGAACATTTTTTTAAGAACACCCTAATAATATTTAGGGAGCTCTGGTGGCCTAGTGGTAAGGAGCTGCACTGTCAGCTCAAAGGTGTGCAGTTCAAATCCACCAGCTACTACTCCACAGGAAAAAGATGAGCAACCTTTGCTATGCGATTAATTCCTCTAAAAATCCATTGGAGGGTCAGCTATGGGTACGTTCCAACTTGATGGTACGTAACAGCACTAACACACACTAAACAGGGAGCTCTGGTAGTTTAGTGGTAAGGAGTTGCACTGCCAATCCAAATCTAGGGAAAAAAGATGGGCAACCTCTTTCTATGCGATTTACCGCCTCTGAAAACTGGCTGTAGGGTCAGCTTCAGTTCTCACTTGATGGCACACAATAACAAGAAGTATATATACAATTTTATATTTTATATATATACACACACACATACAATTTTAGGGAGCTCTAGTGGCCTAGTGGCAAGAAGCTGCACTGTAATCCCAAAGGCATGTGATTTGAGTCCACCAGCTGCTCAGCAGGAGAATGGGAAATCTCCTTCTGTGCGATTAACTGCTTCTGAAAACCCACTGGATAGTCAGCTATGGGTTGGTTCTGACTCGATGGTATACAACAACAACAGTATGTGCTGAAGTTCAGTTTAGTGAAGGAAGGACTGATGTGTAATAATTGGTTTTGGAATAAATAACTAAATTGTGGGAAAAGAATAAGACTCATATATTCATGTCAAAATAAATATCAGTCATAGTTAGAGACCTCTCCAAAGTACTGAAGAGCAACAATGTCAGTCTGCAGACAAAGGAGCACATGATACAGGCCATGGTCTTTGTAATTACCTGCTATGCATCAGAGAACTGGACAATGACTAGGGAGGATAGAAGGAGTCTTGATGCCTTTGAGCTGTCGTGCTGGAGAAGAGTACTGAATATACCATGGACTGTTAGGAGAACAAACAAGTTCATCCTAGAGAGGGTGAAGCCAGGCTGCTCCTTGGAGGCAAGGATTCTGAAGCTCTGTCTGACATACTTTGGCCATGTTGCAAGGAGGGATCAGTCCTTAGAGAAGGACGTCATGCTTGGGAGGGTGGAGGAACAGCGCAGGAGAGGAAGACCCTCAATCAGATAGATTGATTCAGTCACTGCGGTAATGGGGATAGGCGTGTCAGAGACAATAAGACTGGAAAGGGACAGAGCAGGGTTTAGGGCTGTTGTACATAGGGTTGCTATGAGTTTCAGGTAACTCAACTGCACAAACAACATAGTAAAGATTTAAATGAAACTATGAAATAATAGGGGGAAAGGTAAGCTGATTCACCTATAAGGAGGGTAATATCTGAACCCACAGTTGACTCCTAGTTCACAGGTACAGGAGTAAGGGGTGGGAATCTAAAGACCTTCCCTTTTAGGAACATGCAACAGCCCTTGTAAACTGGAGGTTGTACATCAGAAAACTGGTATGTTCTCACTGGGCTAAGATCAAGGCGTCCAGTGGCAGAGACTCTTCCAGTGACGCTCTGGCCAAGGGCTCACCTGTTGGGCTTGTGTCCTTGGTTTTCCAGCAGCATTGCTTGGTCCAGGTCCCTCGGGTAGCCATGTAGCACCCAGCCTTTCTGAATGCAGTCCTGCTGGCTCAGGCGTTTGGTCAGGATCTTCAAGATGATGTCGTTGGGGACTAGAGAGAAAGGAGGACAGATAATTATTGTGCTTCTCCGGGCACCCACTGCTGACTAAACAGACATGCTGGGGAGGGTCCGCTGGACTAGTGGCTCCTGGCCTTTCTATTTTGATCTGAACATAGAGGAAACTGGTGAAGAGTTGAAATTATTTGGAGTCACCTAGAACCACCTGGAGAAGGCTCCAGATGCTTGTTTCCCAAGTCTACACATGACCCAGAGAAGGAGGGAACTTTGCTGACAGAGATGAGAAAATTGCTGGGTCCCTGACCTTGCTTGGCAGGATACCGTCCCAATGTGCAGCCAGGACAGCACCCAATCCTTTAGTGATATAAGTATAGTTACCCACTGCCTCCTTCAAAGACTCTAGTTTTTGTATCAAAAAACCTTTCACAAAATACTCCAGGCCCCTCCCAGCCGACATTTACATTTCTTTCAAATGAGCACATTATTTCTTTCAATATTGTCACTAGTTATCTACCAGAAATTACTGTTCCCCTCCTTCCCCCAATTTCCCCCTCTTTGATGTTGAAAATGGAAATACTTCTCAAAAATACGAGCTCTAGTTGTAACCACAGACTGAAATAAAGTCCTATGGAAAATGAAATATTGAGAGAAATCTCTTGTTTACATTACTACAATTGACATTTCTCTGAAATTTATAACTCTCTTCCTAGACTCATTAAATATCCTATGTTGCTAATGTACTGCGTTCTAGCAATTTGCACTGCATTTCCTGCACTTTGCACTCATTTTCCCAGAAATACTTGGTAAATATTACCACTGTTTGCTATGATTGTGGGCCCCAACATGAGGTGGTTTCCTAGAGTTACAGTGACAGAGTGATTTGCAGCTTCTTTGAAGGTGAATGGCTTCCCTTATCTATGGGTCTGGCAAGTGGCCATAATGTTTATCTCTGAAACTTTCAGACAGGCTGACCATGCTAACATCCAAGTGAACACAGATGTAAAAGATGCAGAAAAATCAGTAACAAATATTATCCTCTACAGAGATTATTGCCCTCGTAGCTAACACATTTCAAGGTGATTCTGATTCAAGATTCATAATTCATGGTTCCTTTCCTGACAGCAAACAACACAACACCACACATAGAATTTGATATATTGTCCAATAGTTTCTGCATTCTGTTTAATCACTTTCCTTTAGAATGGACACAAATACATACTTTGTCCATGCATTATATCATGGTGTTGTTATGTGCTGTTGAGCTGCCTGTGACCCTATGTAGAGCAGCTCTGAACTCTGCCCTGTCCTGAGACAGCCTCACTAATTCTGATACATCAACTCCCATTGCCCCAGTTATTGTATCAATCCATCTCATCTGGGGTCTTCCTCTCCTGCATTGTCCCTCCACCATTCCAAGCACGATGTCCTTCTCCAAGGACCAGTGTCTCCAAGTGATGTTCCCAAAGTATGTGAGACAGAGCTTCAAAATCCTAGCCTACAAGGAGAAACTTGGTTTCACCCTCTCCAAGACAGACTTTTTGTTTTCTTGGTGGTCCATGATATGTCCAAGATTCTTCTCCACATGACAACTTGAAGGCATTGATTCTTTTTCTGTCATCCTTAGTCATTGTCCAGCTCTCTGATGCATAGCAAGTAATTGTGAAGACCCTGGCCTGGATTAGGTGCACCTTAGTCTCTAGACTGACATCATTGCTTTTCAGTACTCTGGAGAGGTCTCTGGCAGCAGATTTTCCTAAGGAAATTAATCTTCTGATTTTCTGACTGCTGGTATTAAGAGTGTTGATTGTGGAGCTGAGCAAGCTATAATAACCCCAGTCTCTTCTCCATCTATCATGGTGCTGCCAGTTGGCCCACTGGTGAGAATCTTTGCCTTCTTGATGTTGAGGTTCAATTCATACTGAAGTTTACAGTCAAAGTCAATTTTGTCAAAGGTAGTTAAAAAATGGATGTCGTATATATTGACAAGGAGCTTCCAGACATTCAAGTTGGATTCAGAAGAGGTTATACACTGCTGATGCAAGATGGACCTTGAGTAAAAGAGGACAATACCAGAAGTAAAACCTATGTCTCACTGAATATGTCAAGACATTTGATTGTATGTCATAACAAATCATAGATAACATTGGTGAAGTCTAGGAATTTTAGAACACTCAATTGAGTCCATGAATCTGTATGTAGAATAAGAGGCAATCATCTAATAAGAACAAGCAGATATTCATGGTTTTTATCAGGAAAGATATTCATCAGGATTATATTCTTTTACCATATTTATTTAACCTGCGTGTTGTGCAAATAATCTAAGAAACTGGACTATTTGAAGAGGAATATAGCATTAGGTTTGGAGGAAGATTCATCAGCAACTTGTAACATGTAAATTGATAAATGATTGCTAAAGGTCAAGAGGACTTGAATCATTTACTGATGAAGATCAAAGGCCACAGCCTTCAGTATGGATTATACCTCAACATCAAGAAAACAAAAATGCTCACAACAGGACCAATGAGCCACATCGTGACAGATGGAGAAAACATTGTTGGGCCAAAGATTTCATCTGGGGCCACAATCAACACCCATGGAACAGCAATCTAGAAATCAAACCATCTATTGCCTTGGGCAAACCTTCTGCAAAAGATGATGTAAAAGTGTGAAAAATCAAAGATGTTACTTTGAGGACTAAGTTGTGCCTGACTCAACTTATGGTATTTTCTTTTATCACTTCATATAGAGGCAAAAGACGGGTATGAGTAAAGAAGACTGAAAACTGATGTATTTTAATTGTGGTGTTGATAAAGAGTAATAAACATATTAAGGACTAACAGAAGAACGAAAAAATCCATCTTGAAAGAAGTACAACCTCAGAAATAAGGATGGTGCAACAATGAATGAATGGAAATCCAAAGCCTCTGTAAATTTTTACTGAAATTAATAAAAAATTTAATTTTTTTTAAAAAAGGATAGAGTAAGAATGGCAATGGATTTATAGCTGCTCATGCTAATAACACCATATCATGGCATGGAGGAGGAATAGTGGAAATGTATCCACATTTACAACATTCCTCTTTCCAAAACCATATATGGAAAATATGAACTGCATTGGAACATGTATCTCTGGATTGGAAATGACAATATTGTTAATATTTCTAGCCTTAAGCTTAAAAGATTATAATGTTCAAAATTATTTGTTATACATTTGTTTAAATTTTTCCCTCTTTTAACAACTGGGATCTAAAGGGAAGAGAAAAGACCAGAGAATGGCCAAAATTATTGGGGCAGCTATTGCTGCCAGTTTAGGGCCTGTGTCAGGAAAAGGAAGTCTTACTCATATACAGTGCCACCCAAAGGTAATAAAAGAGATCAGAATTGCTTCCACTGTGGAAAGCTGGGCCACTTCAGTAGACAGTGTCACAGATGAGAGCCACAGATAGGCAAGGGAGTAGAGAGGAAGCTCCCACTCACTTGCTTTGCTTTAAGTGTGGATCTGAAGGACACTTGGCCAAGGGTGGCCCACATCAGGTCCTCATGGCTGACAGGACGGACAGGCCCCAGCTCCCAGCTGGAAACAAAAGAGGACGCTTCAACGATTTAGATCCTCCCAGAAGAGCTGTTGGTGAGCATTAACATTACTGGTAAGTATATTCGTTTTCTCCTGGACACAAGAGCCTACCATTTGATCCTAAAAGACTTCTGAGGTCCCAACTCTTCTCACTATTTCTTAGTTGTTGGAACTGACAGAAAACCTCATAAGCAGTTCCTTACTTCCCCTCGGCCTTGCATGCAGACTTCCGAGTTGTAAAACAACCCAGTGGTAGATGGAATTTGCTCCAGGACTTAAGAACAATAAATGACATGGTTGAGCCTCTACATCTTGTGGTTCCTAATCTTTATACTATAATAGACAAAGTGCTAGTCAATAGGCCTTTTATTGTAAGAACTACCTTCCCTCTGTAACTTGATTTGTGCCACTATTAGAGCATCTACTTGGAATATTATTGCTTTTTAATTTTTGACTCATGTACCTTTAACTTGTTAGTTAAATTTGTGTTTTCTAGGCTGCAACACTTCCATGATACATCTTCAAGGATATGAACATATACGACTAAGCACAACTGATAACAGTGCATCTAAATTCCAAAATCAATCTCCATTAATAGTCTATGTGTTTCCTATTTCCATAGGGGCCCTTTAGAGTAGTGAGAGAAGCTCTTCACCCTGAAACCTACAGAGTCCCTTTTCAGCAAGAAGTAGCTAAGAGAATACGCCATCCCCTTTTCCTTATGAATCAGAGTGAAGTCTCTTTCAGGGAGGAGTGGTAGGGAATGGCAAAGGACACACTGACAAAGGATATTAATCAGAACTGGCTTTGACAGCACTGTGGCAATTGGACAATTAAAACAGACTTTCAAGGGGGGGAAAAAAGAAGAACGAACTGGGGAGGAGGGTAGAGAAAATAGTGCAACAATGAATGAATGAAAACCCCAAATCTCTGTAAATGTTCATTAAAATTAATAAAATTTAATAATAAAAAAAGAAAAAGGATGGTGAGACTTTGTCTTATGAACTTGTGAATTCTGAACACATTAACAGGAGGAATCAATCCCTGAAGAAGGGAGATTTTTAGCAACATGGATTGACTGAAACAATGGGTTCCAAAGAAGCAACACAGCAGATTCTGAGGACAAAGCAGGACCAGGCAATGTTTTGTTCTGTTGCATGTAGGGTCACTAGGAGTCAAAACCAACTCAATGGCACCTCACAACAACAATAGCTGATGCGGAGTACTACTGATTTTCACCACACCACCCTGTGGGGAACTGAGGCATATGGGGATTTGTGCTAAAATTAGTATGGGAGTAAATAATTAGTCTGTTTTCTGATCCCTTGTTGATCCCCCTCAGGATAAATGCATAAACACAAATATCCAAATATCCAAATATCGGGTTATGTGTCTGCCAAAGAGCTTTCTATCCCTATTTACCTTTAAATATCTACAGTTTTACCTAAATAAGAAACT